ACGAAGTTTTTCATGAGGAATCTGAATATCTCATTTTGAAAATTCCAAAGAAATGAAATTTTCTTAAAAAATTGTAAAAACTTTTAAGAATGTCGCAATGTTTTGAGGTTTTTGTAGGAAAAATGGACTATTGAGGGTTATTGAAAAAGCTTGAGTTTTTTTAAATTAAAACCCTTTTGAAAAATATAAAAACAGATATATTCTTACTCAGCTCGACGAGCTCTATCTAACCATGTATAAAAAAACGAAAACAAAAACTTGCTGGAATTCTGCATTGTTTGCACCTTACGAATTCAAAATTAATATTCTTTTCCATTATTACAATCTCAAATCATTAAAGATTTTTTCAACATTTTTCAAAAAACAAAACGTGAAGATACATTCTATAACGAACGAAATGCTTTTTTCACTATTTGTGATCTATATGCTTATGTAAAATTATCAGGGTTGGAACCGGTAAGAAAAAGATAAAACGGTCCGGTCCGGCCGGTTGTTCATCATTTCTGAATCGGTGAAATTCCGGCAAACCGGTCAATTTCCGGTCAAGCTTACCGCTTTAAAATGGTTCCAAACATCCGAAAGTACGGTAGAAATTGATAAAGTTATTTCTAGTTGTAAAGTGAATTATCTAATATTTAAATAACACGGTTGAAACAATATGATTTAGCTCCTCGTATCATAAGTACAGAAAACTGAAATCGACCTAGGAATAGTTTTTTTTATAAGCATATCTTAGAAAATTTCAATATTCGTATTTGAGAAAATATTATTTGACTTTTTATGAAACTTTTAGAAAAGATATGCATAATCTTTATAGTCATGAAGCATCATCATTTTTTCAAAAGTTTATTAAGATTTTCCTAACTGATTTATATAGTACTGTCTGGTCTATTTCAAAACTGATAAAACATGCCTAATTGTCTTCGTGTCTATCATAGTATTACAATCATCACGATAAATATCGATTATAAACTGAACAAAATTTTTAATATTGGCACTATAAAAAGACTTTCTGGACATATATGTATAATGATGGAAAATTTGTTCTACTTCATAGCAAAATACATAGTTCTTCTTACCGAATAAGAGCTAAGTAAAGATAATATTTTTTAAACTTAAACCGGTAAATTTCCGGTATTTACCGGCCCGGTTGACTTTCTAAACCGGTCCGGTACCGGTTCCAACGCTGGTTGCAATAGAAACCTTCTGTAGTTTTTCTTTTTGAAAGTAAATCAAACTTACAAGATGTTTGATGACCAGCGCCATCTATGGTTAATATATTCTATTCATGTATTTTGCTACCAGTATAGTATAAACAAAGAGCAATATTGATTTATTTTATTGGTACACAAAATATTTTTTTTAAAAAAGAATATGGCAACTCGAACATCAACTCGATCAACAAAAGCCGTGAAATTTGTCGATTCAGTTGAATCAGATGATGATGAAGTGTTAGATAAATCTTCTTCACTACCGATAACTACTGAAGGTAAAAAACCTCGAGGTCGACCACCAAAATCTCGTCGAAGTCAAACCAATGATGATGATGAATGGGATGCAAGAAACGAACAAATTGATGACGATGACGATGATAATGATGATGGTAATACAAGTGATCATGGACGAGATGTTACAAAAAAAATTCTTGCCAACAGAACAATCGATTCCGTTTATGATTTTGGGTAACGAAATATATATACGTTCTTCTATAGACATTAAAAAAAATCGGATTCTTTTTATTAAAGTGAAACACCAAGAAAATGGTCAAAAGCAACACCACAAAGAAATAGTACTATATCAAAAACAAGTGTTAGTGATAGTGGAAAATCTATGGAAAAATTAATGTGTTCGTATTGGTAAGATATTTTAAACGAAAAAAAAAACGAGTTTTTAATCAATAGAGATTATGTTTAGTAATTATACAACAACAAAGAAATATCTTCTTCAAAGGCATTTAAAATCTCATTCAACTGAACGACCACATAAATGTATAAATTTTAAATTAGAAAACAATAACAAAAACTTTTTTTTTGTTTTATCAGGTGCATATTGTGATCGATCATTTAAAACAACTATTCAATTAACTAATCATGTTAATACTCATCTTGGTGTTAAGCCATTTCAAGTAATATTTCCAATGAAAAAGATTTTTTTTTATTTTTGTTTTTATTAGTGCAAATTTTGTTCATTTTCATTTACAACAAGTGGAGAATTAATTCGACATGTTCGATATAAGTAAGATCACAACAACAAAAAAAATAATTAAATTGTTTTATTTATAAAAAAAATTGTTTCTTTTTTTTTCTCTCTTAGACATACACTTGAGAAACCTCATCGATGTGAGGAATGCGGTTATGCAACAGTTGAATTAAGTAAATTGCGGCGACATATTCGTACACATACTGGAGTATGAATTAACAATTTCTTATTTTTATTTTGTTTTATATTTATTTATATAGGAAAAACCTTATGCTTGTCCGCATTGCTCATATTGTAGTCCGGATACATTTAAACTTAAACGACATCTACGTGTACATACAGGTAAGAGGGAAAAAGATGATGATTTTGCTAATTGATTAAAAGTGGTTTTTTTTCTGTAGGTGAAAGACCTTATCAATGTACGATTTGTAATTTTCGATTTACTCAAAGCAATAGGTAAATTTATTAATAATTAATATAAATATTCGAGTTTACATGAAGAATATCGATTAATAGTGATCATAATTTCAACCGATTTCATGAGATTTAATAATAAAATTTTGTATAAAAGAAGAATGACTTTAATGAAATACAAAATTTTTTTTTCATTGATTCGCTTGTCTTTATCGATAATTATTATAGATAACTTTTGTTTGCGATTCGATATATGACGAATGAGTCCTCTCGTGAGGATTATATATTTATGTATACGAAGGAAGAATGAATAATACCTCTACTTTTCGATTACCTTAAGGAGTAGAGTGTTGCCTAGCAACAAATTCAATAACTCGATAGGGTGTGAGTGTAGGTTAGGATAAGATCCACACATCATGCCCACACTCTTGAGGATACGCACTGAACAATGTAGTCACTCAGTCGTGGCGGCTCTTTAGTTATATATATATATATATATATGAAACTTAACCTTTGTCAAAATGATCGTAAACGTGAATTCTTCTGACAGAAATCTTGAGATGAGAATGATTTCATTACTCGACTCAAGATGATCTATGAAATGAAAATCATACTTATCTCTTGTTTCGAAAATATTTCTTATCGTATTATATGTTTCAAAATTTGTACATTTCTTATTATTCAACATTATTATTAGTAAAATTTTACTTGAAAAAGAAAAAGACCATTTTCTATTGATTAATTATTAATTTTATTTAGTTTAAAAGCTCATATGTTAACACATCAAGCTGAAAAACCATCATTTCCTTGTTCGTATTGTCCATCGGTTATGGCTCGAAAATCTGATCTTCGTTATCATGTTAGTAAACAACATTCCCGTCAATCAGAACCATTAGCATGTAATAAATGTGATGAAGATTTTCCTGATAAGTATGATTTTTTCTCGTGATTTACCCATTTTAACCTAATATGTTTTTTTCAAATTTAAGATATACATTACGTATGCATGGAAAAACCCATAAAGGTCAAACAATTCATTCATGTACACATTGTGAATTTTCTGCTAATACAAGTCAACAATTAGATGATCATATGAATAAACATCGTGGTACACGTCCATTTCAATGTAGTGAATGTGGTTTAATGTTTGCTGCTCGTGCTGATTTACGTGCACATGTTACACGTACACATAGAAATGCTTCAACAACAATAATAACAAATTCACCAGCAATTAATAATCGTCGTCCACAACGACGTGTAGCATCATTACAACATCGTTATATAGATGTTTCATCAGGTATTGAAGATGATGAACAACAACAACATCAACAACAACAACATGATGATGATTATCGTTGTTCAATATGTCAACGACAATTTACATCAGCACGTTTATTAGATCGACATACATATGTTGTACATGAACAAAAACATGATTTATATGATGAAAGAGATTATCAAACAAATGAAATAAATGATGATGATATTCATGATTATGCTGATGATGAACTTGAAGAAAAAAATGAAAATAAAATAATTAATAAACATGAAAATATAATTGAAAGAATGGATGAAGATTATGATGATGAAGAAGATTTAGCACCAAATGTTGAAGATATAATTGAAGGTGATGAAGATATTGAACAAATACCAACAATTAAATCAGTATCATCAGCTAATAAAAAACAAATTGGATATATAAGAAAATTTGATGAACAAGAAGATTTGTCTGATAAAAGAAAATTGAATATTGATAGATGTATGTAAATTAAATTTTAAAAAATTCTTTTTCATTTAAATTTTATTTTTAAAGCTTCATTCAAATCCAATGATGATGAAAAACCGGATTTTGATGTATTTGGTTTTGATGGATAATTTGCTTGTTCTTTTATTTATATATATATATAATCACTTTTTTTTTTTCATTTCATTTTTCTTTTTGTTTGTTTGTATTCATTTATTAGTTATTTTTTGTCTGTCTTGTTTATTAGATATTCATCTCACCGTATTCGTTTATAACGCATATTTTGCGTGTAGAAATTTTTCTTTTTTCTTTTCTTTTTCGTTTGTTTGAGAGATAATATATTATTGTATCCGAGAATCGAATTTTGTTTTTGTTTTTTTTTAGTGAGAACATCAATTGAGAATGAAATGATAATGGATTATAATGTTTATATTGTAGATTTTATTTATTGATGAATGGATCATTATGATATTATATCGAATTAATATACTAAGTAATGATCAACATTTTTCTTTTTCATTTTGTTTACTTTTTAGATGGCTGGAATAAAACTTCTTAGCATAACTAACATCACAATAGTTATATTCATCATTTATCTTTCTTATACAGCTAATACATTCTATTCAATGTTTCGTCCACCAATATGTAAAAGTAATAATTGCCTTTCACCACATATAAAACCATCATCAAATAAAAAAATTAAGGTAAATTTAAAAAAATGAAAATCTAATATTGTTTTATTTTTCTTTATTTTATTTAATTTCATAGTTATATAGTTGTTTATCAATAAGTTCAAATCAACCTCGTTCAATGACGGATTCAAAATGTGTAAAAATATTAAATTTAGATAATTTTACAATAAATCAATCATTTGATGAGTAAAAAGTTTTAAATTAATTCTATTCTATATTATTCTTTTCTTTTTTGCTTCATTAATAGAACAATTCATATACCATTAGTAAAACAATTTCGACAAAATACAACATTTTATATACATTTTTATATTTATCATGGTATTGATCCATTTCAAGATCGAACACATATTTATCGTCAACGATTAATATCAAAATATCTTATTCCACAACAAAATTTTATGAATCTTTTACAAGAAAAATTACCTTCAAGTCTAACTGGTATTAATGAACAAAATCAAGTTTGTTTCTAAACATTAATATTTGAATATAAAAAAAAAAAGAGAACAGAAAATCAAAAATTTTTTTTTTTTTTAGAATAAATCAATCAATAATTCATCGGATATACCTATAACTCATATTTTAAAAAGAATTATATTTCATGGTGTTAATCAAGATATTATATTTGATAGATTCGACATTCCACCAGAACTTTATCATTTAATGACGTAAGAAAGTCATTTTATTCCTTTGATTAATTTCATCGTTTTTTTTTTTTTTTGAAAAATATGATTAGTCTATATTCTCAAACAACTTATGGTCCTTTGATTAGTTTGGATGAATTAACTACTCGACTTCGAGATTATCAAGTAAGTTATATTTAGTTTAATAATTAATTATGTCATGTTCAAATGTCAAATTTTGCGAGAAAAAAAAAATCTTTTCCTTTTTCACTCAAGCTTCAATATTAAAGTTTTTAAACAAGATGTTTGTTCACTTTTAATCAGCTAGAAAATATTTCTAACGAGGCAAAAATTATGAATTATGATGCTCTTTTCGAATATGAACTTAGAAATCTTGTCTATATTTGTTTAAGAGTAGTGAAAGATCTCAAAAATTATTTTTAATGGTGAATCAACAGGTTCTTGCTTAATCTATAAGTCCTTTTTGAACATACGAAAAAATGGTCGAAGTCAGTCGTTTTGTAGAGCGGATCCTTCTCTATAAAATGCGATATTGAACTAAGCTGTAGCTTTTAGCTAAGTAAGGCTACAAGTATTTTTTCAAGAGCTTCTTTCAGCGTAAAACGGTTGTTAATTTTCCAAAAATGAATATTTAGCAAAAGCGAAAATGGAGGTGCCTTACGCGTTATATCAATTAAAACCTCTTGGAAATTAAGATCTATCGATATAATTGAAAATCTCAATGAAAATCATTATCTAAGGATGTATAATAATTCTCTGAAATTTTCTATTGTTTATAAATGACAAAGTGATTTAGTTTACTTGCTCAATCAATAACTAACAATACAAGAAGAATAATTCGGATTGAACCATTTCTTCAGAATTTTCTTCTCTTCCAAATGCCAAATAAAATGTGAGGATCGATCAATCTCCCACAGAGAAAAATGTTGTGTATTGGTCGTGACCAGTGCTGGTTACGACGAACGCGCAGTATTTTTCTCTGTCGGAGATTATTATATCTTCAAGTTTCAAACAGTATCTTGAAAATGAGACAATTTTGAACAAAAGGTTCAGCTCGAGTTATTCTTCTAGTCTCTCTTTAGGGAAGACTGTTATGAAAAACTTTTCTTTTGTGTTTGATCATGACTGTGACTGCAATACAGATGATGAATTGAGAATGAGTCTGCAAGAATCTTTTCATTAGACGTTTTTCTTTGGTTTTATTTGATAAAAATTTCATTATATCTACTATTTTTTTTATTGAAGCATTATTCTTTGATAAAAAAACAAAACATTTTTCATCTCTATGCACTAATGAACACAAGTATTAGCTTCCGTTAAATTTCATTTATTAAAAGAACTAAACATCTAAAACAATATGTGAAGATATACTTTGATAAAAATATAAGTCAATAACATTTCCTGAAAACTTGAAAGAAAAGTATGATGAATAATGACGTTATTTCTGTGAAAATTTATAGAAGTAAAAACATTATATATGGTCGATTTTTTGCCTAAATAATATTATATTCGAGTCATCAAACTTAAAATTTTTATTTATCATTGTTTTTGTATATTTAGCCAGTGAATATATCAGATGATAATATTGAATTAAAAGTAATTTATACTCCTATATCAATTGGTCGTATGAGATTATGGGTTAATTTTGAACGAGCACTTGAATCTACACGATTATATGGATTTTCAGATAAAGAAATCGATGAAATAAAAGGTATTTTTGCTGATAATAATTTACCAATATTAGCATTAACATTTCTTGTTGCTGCTTTTCATGTAAGAATTTTCTTTTCTTTTTTTGATATTCATTAAAATCAAAAATAAGCTTTTTTGTTTTTCTTTTATATAAAGACTTTATTTGATTTTTTGGCTTTTAAAAATGATATTAATTATTGGAGACATAGAAAAACAATGGTTGGATTATCATTACGAACAGGTTAATCGAAATAAATTAATTGAGATTTGTTATTATTTTTGTTGTTATTGTGTTTTAGTTTTATGGCGTTCGATTAGTAATGTTATTATTTTTCTTTATTTACTTGATTCGGGTGCAAGTTTATTAGTTCTTATTCCATGTGGAATTGGTTCATTAATTGAAGTAACTTAGAAAGATAACAAATATTGTTTTTTTTTATTTTTATTTTGATTATTATTTAGATTTGGAAAGTAACAAAAGCATTAAAAATGAAAATTCGATTTAATGGTTATAGACCAATGATTACAGTATGTTATAAATAAATAATTCATGTCTTTTTTTTAAATTAATTTTTATATTTTAGTTTGGAGAAGTATCAAAAGAAGAAGCCGATACAATGTTACATGATTCAACGGTAAAAAAAAACTAAGATTAATTATTGATTTCATAATTATAGTTTTAGGCTATGCGTTATTTATCTTATCTTCTATATCCACTTTGTATTGGTTTAGCTGTTTATTCACTTATTTATAATAATCATAAGAGGTAATTTATAGAATGTTTCAAAAATTCAAATGAAAAAATAAAACGTGAATAGCTTCTTAGTAATTTAATAGATTTAAATATTTTTTTTACAACTTGATCATATATATTCATTAAAATTTTTAGATAAAATTTCTGTGTGTACAGAAGTTAGAATTAAAATAGTTTTACTAATAGCCAAATTCGAATCAGCTACCATTGTAAAACGAAATTTTCAAGTCGAATTCGGTAAAAAATATGCTAATTGAATCTTGTATTAAAATCATATGTCAGTAATTTTGTGAAACCAATTACATGGTGGAAGATCGACGGCAATTATCGAAGGAAAAGTTAATGAAGTGTGAAAATGAGTTAGGACCAAGTATTCAGTCTATTGCATAAACTTGCTCATTATCACAAATAACAACATACAGGATTATGATAGAATATCTCTTATTAAAATCATACAAGATATAATTTGCTCAATAGTTCTACAAAGAAAAGTTACATTAATCGAACACTTGATCCTGGCTCATTTTTATACGTCATCAACTTTTTCTTCACTAATTACTCTACGGTCATTGATTTTCAACAGTACTGGTTTTACAAAATCGCTGGAATATGTTATTAAGACAATGTTTAGTTAGCATATTTTTTTGCTGAATTCGACTTGCAGCATTTCGTTTTACAATGGTAGGTGACTCGAATTTGACCATCAGTAAAACTATTTTAATAAATATGTGATCAAACTGTAAAAAGAAAATATTTAAATCTTTTGAATTGCTGAAGAGTTATTCACAATCTTTCTCTTCATTCGGACTTTTCGAAAATCTCGATATTTGACAATAAAAGATGATAAGAAAAAATATATTTGATTTTTAGTTGGTATTCATGGATAATTAATTCACTTGTTAATGGAGTTTATGCTTTTGGATTTTTATTTATGATGCCTCAATTATTTCTTAATTATAAACTTAAATCTGTTGCTCATCTACCATGGAGAGCATTTATGTATAAAGTAAATTTAAACAAAAAAAACAAAAAAATTTCTTTTTTCCTAATTTTTATTTTGAAATAAATAGGCATTCAATACATTTATTGATGATCTCTTTGCGTTTATAATTACAATGCCAACAGCTCATCGACTTGCATGTTTTCGTGATGATTTTGTTTTTCTTATTTATTTATATCAAAAATGGTAAGTTAGAATTTTATTAGAAAAGAATTATTAGGAAAAAAAAAACTTTTTGTATATGAAAAGTCAATTTGTCTAACTGAGAAAATGTTGTTGTTTTTTGAACACGAATGAGTTCTTTTATAATTTACATTGATATAATTATTTGTCGATTATATATTTAATATTGTCATCGACCAACGAATTTACAAGATAAATCTAACTGTTAGAAGAAATAAAACATTTGATACATTAGAGCATTTCTTGTTTTGAAAAGAATGGAGAAAGGCCGATTGAATGTTTTTTTTTGGAGTTATTTGTTATCTCCTAGTATTCTCATTCAAATGAGTAGGATATGTTTTGTATTTTATGATTAAGTAGATTATTAGATTTATTATTTAATGTTGTCTTATGTACGAATTTTATGGTAAAGATTTGATCGATTTTTTCTTTTACAGGCTTTATCCGGTTGATAAAACTCGAGTAAATGAATATGGTGAAGCATTCGATGAATCAACGAAACCGAAAACTGAATAAAAAAAAAATACAAATCAATATAAAACAACTTTCAAATGCAATGGAATATCTTTTCTTTTTGTTATTGTCTATGTTTTTCTCTTATCTGCTATTCACAACAATAAAAAGAATGTCTGTGTTATTAAAAAAACGCAATA